ATATCAATTTTCAACAGCTGAAGGAAGATCGGCAGGAAACAGGAAAGAATGTCCTTGTTTTGGTGAAAACACAGGCTGTTAAAGTAGCCTGATGTGGAAAACCTTGCAGTTCCATGTTCTTCTAAATAGCTTTGTGCTATGAAAGCCAAGCTAAGCATCAATTCATCACTTGAGAAAGATTAAGACACATATTTGCTGAACACGAGTTACTGCAGATGTAACCCTCTGGTGCGGTCCACTTTACCTTTGGTTGAATCAGCTGCTAACACTCTATCCCTGGTTAAACACGTTTCATGTGGCCTCATTACCACTGCCAATAACCTTTTGCTTCTTCACCACAGTGTGGCCCAAGACCATGGTCTTTATGAAACCTTAATTAATGTTTTATTAAATGTAATTGCTGACACATCACAAAAGCAAAAAACAGCACACATTAGACTCCTAATAAAGTTTTTTGACCAGAAACCATTGTATTACCCCCTTAAATCTAAAAATGCTTACATCCAGTATTTCTAGTGCCCAGGCTGTGGCTGAGCTCAGACTGGGGAAGGGGAAGGGGGAATGGGGTTGGAAAGGATGAGTCATACATTGCTTTCCATGCTCAATGATTATAATAGCCCATCACAGAGAAAAGCACTGTTTCCCAGCTGAAGTGAATACTGCGCTCTCGAGCCAGAACCATATTTAACTTTTTCACTCTTTGTTGCACTTCATGCAGTACAGAGCCTAGTGTTAAAATATCAGCTGCAGGGGTGAGAAGAGAGTCAGGCAGTAGCTCATCCAACATTTACATCATTGATGTGTCACCGTCGACATGTGAAGTCATCTTTCCGCTGTTTCTGGAAGGCTAGAACGGCGACAATGGAAAAAAAGGGCAAAGAAACTGCTTTTTAGTAAACCCCTCTCCAACTGTCTTAACGCCAGGTTTAATATCTCGTGCTGTGCGTACGAAGCACATTCTGCAGTACAAAACAATGATTTGATCCTTAATGTGTCTGGACATGGGTAGATGATATCCCGCCCAGGATACAGCAAATAATACACTCTTGGTGGCGCACACAAAGGACCCCCTTAACTCCAGTGTGGGGTCAAAACCTTGTCCTGCATATTTTGTTTTATCTTCCATGTTCATATCAGACATTAGAGCTGATTTACAGAGTCTTTTTCCACAAAGACTGCATTTACAGGCTGAAGTGACACATGCAATTGCAGGGTCAACGCTTCTCTCCACAGTACAGCAGGCTCAGATTCCTGCCTCTGAGCGATGGCAGTAGACGTGCACACACAAACAGCCTTTTTTTTGTTAAACTTCCACTTATCCCAGTCAATTTTACAGTAGGTCTAAGCTGAGGGTTTCCACTAAAAAAGTGATTAAAGTGACACACTTAGATTCCAAAGCAAGGTTGTTTTTTTTCACAAATGACTTTAATGTGATCGCAAATGCACCTGGATAATCCACGTGGGTTATAATAGGTGTTGTTTTTTCAAGTCTGCTAAATAGTAATAACATGAACAAATGAAGTAAAGCATCCTTCATGTGACCAGCTGTGGGTTTCACACAGGGTTTTAAGGAAGTTATGTCATTTCTACAAGCTTATAATTGGCCTCATGAAGAAATTTTATACACGGTAACAAAAAGGTAAAATAAACTACCTCATAAAATTCCCTGTGAAAAAGAAAACCTGGATATAAAAAACAGCTGTGGACCAGGTGTATCCAACCTTTAACCTTGTCATAAAGTCGACTCTAAACAAAAAGAACCTTTTGAAGGCCCTGAAAGTGTATGCGCAAAGAAAACCTGGCAGGAAGGTACGACCACAGCGATAGACCTGCAGATGTTGTTGGATTAGGAATTTCCTCTAGAACTGGTCCACGATGGTGTATTTTCTTTACAAAAAAAATGCAACAGTACTTTTTTTCTTGGTCCACCATTTCACCAAGAATGGGAAAAAAACATCTGGAAGACATTTTTCTGGTCCTTTTAGAGGGCTTAGCAGACAGCACAGTGGAACTTATCGAATCCAGATGTAAAGGCGATCAGTGAAAGAGGGAGGACTTTGACTGTTTATTCCATTAAAATGTACATTAAGACGAGACAAATAACAGGGGCTTATACTTTGAATAATTTTTAATGATACCTTTATATCTAGCGCACGCTCCGTAGTGTTTTATTGCCATTTTGACTTCAAACCTGGCTTGTTTTCATTTGCTTAAGGCATTCAAAGAATGTTTTTGCAGTGCTTTTGATGACTACAGTAGGTTCTGGAACTGTGTGAATATTTGTAATGGACCGAGGAATGGCACAGAACTTTGATTGATTACTAATAACAAACCACAGAGAAATAAGTCAAAGCAGACTTTCTAAAACCCATGAAAAGAGTCTATTGACTCTAGAAACCATGAGGGGATCCAGTCAGCAGGATCATAAAGGAAACCTTTTGGAGAAGACAGATTTTGGTCCATGGCAGATTCGCTGATCATAAATCTACATAACAACTGAGGTCACACACTGGGAGGTCAGGGCATTCTGTTACATTTAAATGGTTTTAGTCAGACATATAAAACGTCTATGGCCTGAACGGTTGGGCTGGTTGAAAAAGAAATGGTGTTAAAATGACTAAGTGAATTTCATAATTGAAATTTAAGTGTGGCAGTTTATATATTATATAGAAAAGGTGTGAAGCCCAGACAGAACACACAAAGGAACACATTCAGCACGAGAATTTATTGACACGAGCAGCAGCAGCAAGAATTTGTTTCCTCAGGCTCCGAAACTGTAAACCTGACAGCAGCGGTAGTCCAAAAAGTCCTGACCTTCACCTCTGACCTCTGCCCCCTCTTTTCATTCTTAGCCTCCACAGCTTAGGGCCTTGAGTTATTAGCACTTTTCACATATGTTTAAAGGTTTTCCTCATTAATGCCAAAATATGATGAGCTCACTTAAAAACTATGGTCTTTGACATCACTCACTCTCTTTAATAAGTTGAAGGGCTGGTGTTCATTGTTCTCATCCTCTTTGACCTCACTTTACTGTGTACTTGAAACAGGCTAGTCCTGTTAATGCGCACAGAACAGATGTTGAGGCAAAACATATTCTTCAGTTTAAATGGCAAAAATATGAACACATTATTTCAAAGGCTAATTGTCATGTGCTGATTACAACATGGCAGCTTGTTTTAGTAAGGCAACTAGCCTCGGTATATTTGATAGGTCTGGGTAAAATTGAACATATTAATGTACTTCAGTGCCTCTTCTAAAACTCACTTCTAAATAGCACTAATACACACTAATTAGGTTTCCCTTTCCTATGACATATATTCATCACGACTGGCAGGGAGATACTGATTTTTTCCCATTAACCTTAAACATTGACAGAGTACAAGCCGCACTGCAGTATAAGCCGCGGGGGCGGTCCTCTAAAGCCGAAGCTTTAAGTGACATATAACACATCCAGATCCCCCTGAATAACTTAGTCATGCCAATTTGCTCAACTATAATGTAACACAAGTGCTTTGAATATTTATCTTAAACACAAGTTTAATTTATGTGTTTCCATGCATAAAACTTGGCATTTACAGCAGTAGATGGCTCTTTCTGTAATTTAGTCATCAGTGTGTGTCAAGTTTCCAGTAGTCTTGAGAACTATTTACAAGACTCCGGGTACTCCCTGTCAGTTTTAAGAGCAGATAAATCCAAATGATTCCCATGCTCCATCTAAAGTCACTAAGTTTCCACAGTCCACCTCCTCTGTTATTTAAAAACAGCACAAATCTGGATCCAGTCATTATCTTATATGGAGACTATTGTTGTGTTCACTTCCAAACCAGTGGTTTTAGCAACTGGAAAAAAAAGTCCTTGTTGCAAGAACAGTTCAAACCTCTCATCATCTCAACTACATCTGCTTTTGTCCTGACTCTATTCTGTAATCATCCTGGTTTTACCATTAGGACACTGGGAATGGTCACTTTCCGAATTGTCCGTGAAGAGATAGGGGAAGCCACCTGTTTATCTCAAAGTCCTGTGTCAGAGACTTGAGCACAGTCAAGACCACCAACCAAGCCAGACTGTAAAGGTGCTAATAATACACGCAGGCCAGACCCTGGACCCACTTCCACGGCACCTAATGACCTGTGAGCCCAGGACAGCCTCACAAGAGCGTCTGTAAAACACTAATTATCTTATCAGAACTAGATTTTGTTTTTTAAAGAGTCTGTTCTGATTTACGGAATAAAAATAAAGTCATTTAATTGAGTTAAAATTGGAGAAACTTGGAGCCTTTTGTACTTTTTATGTCGTTACTGGACCCACTACTTTAAGAAAAGCCAAGCCTGTGTCCTGATCCCAGTGTCAGAGTCCCTGAGGCAGCTCCACCCTACCACTTCAGACAGGCTCCAGTCCCTCCCTCCCTCTTATGAACATTTTGCTCATCCCTCTCATCAGTCAAAAATGGTAACAGAAAGAGAAAAAAAAAACTTTTGAAAGCACCCTTAAACTTTCTTCAAACTGCACCACAGTAAAATTACTCAAATTACCGCACAGTAATAAGTCTGAAAACTGCAAAACAAAAATAGGATTTCGTGTTAAAGTAACATCTGGAAAACACATTTCATTTGCACTTTGAGTGTCTTTACCATATATTTTACTGCATTTGATGCCAATAAAATTGGCCTCTGACAGTCTTTTACTAAAAATAGGTTGTTTGGGGCCTTAGTCTGATCTCTTTTTTTTAATAACTTTGCAGTTTATTCTAGTTTTTTCTGCTAATGTAACCTGACTAAATCCAGTTCAGAGAGAGAGAGTTGGTGATCAAATGTATATCTGTGGATTCTTCAGATCGATTTCTTTAAAACCAGCTCGTCCCAGAACAGAAAACAGACCAAGTGTAAAAAAAATAAAATACAAAGATGATTCCCTACTTGGGGGGAAAAAAATCAAAAAAGTTTTTTTTAGCACAGCTGCAGTTTGCTGCTGCATCCACACATCTCACAGCTGCATCTTACCTGAACTCGCTTGCGATGTGACAAAAAGCAAAATCACCGCCAAAGTGATTTGGGCGTCCCTTAACCTCCGTTTAACTTTCCATCTTATATGGGTATCCATGACCGCCGCTGAGGTCCACGGCAAGTGGCTTCACTTCTTTTCAACAATTATGGACGTGCTAAAGTTTTTGGGCAACACTAAAAGCCGAGAAAAAGTCCCAGAGAAAGAGAGAAAAAGGGGGAGAGGGGAGTGTGTCGTTGATTCTCAAGCAGCCATAAGGGGTTTGTTAGTGTAGGGATCCTCCAGCTGGTTGACGGATGGTGCCACCGTCTCTCCCGTACTGCTCCTCTCCTCTCTGCTCCTCTGCACTGTCCTGCTCCTGCGATCAGAAGTGCAGCCCCCTCCTTCACTCCTCACGTAGAGCCCCTGCAAGTCCAACCGGGCAACGCGTACAAAAAAAGTTTCTCCCCCCCCTCGGGCTGTCACTCACACCGCGAACAGGAGACTCGGGCAAATCAGAGGTGGACGTACATTAGAGGCGGCCACGCCATTGGCCGAGGCAGGGAGGAAAAGTTTGGGAGAAAGTTTCACGCCTACATCTCTGTGAGTGGTTTGGTAGAAGTCCTGTATGAAGAGACTGAAGAAGGACCGAGCTGAGGGGGAAAAAAGAACATTAGGAGGAATAAATAAGTCTCAACAGGCAACAGAATCCCCTCGAAGATGTTAGGGTTGTTAATGACAGGGGGCGCTGCTAAAAAATAATAATCTGGGGCAATATGATAAAAGTACCGTGGGCTCCCATACAGATGTATGCAGATGACTCACTAATTTACAGATGGGTTTTATATCAATATGTTCCTAATTGAATACAGTCCAGTATTATAATATTTAAGGGGTCAAAAGTCACAGACATATTGTAATGTTAAGTGTACTATAGCTGATAATAAGCCAGAAAGACGTGTTGATTTTGATAGTCCAAATATATATGTATAAATAAACATGGGGGCTGTCAATGATAACAATTATTAATCTGATTAGCCACAGGGTAGCTGTGGATTGCTTCAGAATAATCATGATGTGGTCGTAATTATGCATGATTAGTTGTGATCAATCCAGATAAATCAACATTCCTAATTTACATTCCTGACAAATGATTTTTCTGGACATTGCTGGAGCAGAAAGACAAATAACACCAGGAAGATGTTTTATGTTTTTGAACCAAACCAAATAGTGAAATTACTTATATAGAATAATGTGAAGAAAAATATGGAGAAGTAAATATTCAAATTGTTGCTGAAATTAAAACCTTCACCATCACATGCTATGTGCTATTAGCATGAGTAGAGTTGTTATTTTCAACTCAAGGTGCTTTGGTGAAATGAAAACTCTTTCCACCAAAGTGTGTACTTTTATAAAAATGGCTTCCATCAAGAGATTTTGGCTCATATTTATTTTTAAGCAAAACATATAAAGCAGTGTTTCACAATTGTTTTTTTCTTGGGACCCATATTTTAAAAGTCACAAACCTTCACGACCCAAGTCAATAGACATTCACGTAAACTCCTGGGAAGCAGGATGTGAGACGACCCAAAGAAATTCTCTTGCGACCCACCTGAGAGTTGCGACCCAGTCTTTGGGAAACAATGATATAATAAGACGAATTAGAACCAAGAGAAAGAAAGAAAAACAACAGAAGTTTACTAGGGCGGTGGATAGAGTGAGCAAAAATCAACAAGCAGATGAGTTTAATGAATCCTGGAATATTTGAAAATGAAAAGTGCTCTGCGGATGTGCGTAAACAAAAGCTTATTATAGTTCGCTATAAATATATTTATTGCATTTTGGTAGAGTTGTCACAAATGGGGAGTAAGAGGTATAATTCACAATTAGTTAAACTGCTATTAAAGACGTTCGGCCTGTTTCACTAACTACTGTATGTCAGCATAGATCAGTCATCATGTCACAACATTCTCAGTGTAACAAAAGACAAAACAATAAATCGTACTCACTGCTTAAACACCCAGAGTACCCATCAGACCAGTGTCAAGGTCTGGCATTTGTGCTCCAAAAACCAGCCTACAGCTCAGCCTGTTAAACACATCATACATTACAGTATATACGTAATGAAAGGACTGAAAGGATCTTTGTTTTTTCGTTTTGTTTTTTTTTTTAAGTGAAAAACTGTGGGAAAAGCAGCTCAGTGAGTGTGACAGAAGTACCAGAACTTATATTAAAAGAAAAACAAAAAACAAAAAACATTTGAGTTGTTTCAGACACCAGCTCTTGCTGACAGCTGCGTTTTACAACGTGTCACATGGCAGCTCCAGCAGTGGGGGCAGACTTCCATTAACTGCCCAGTAAAATATGCCTTCAACCCAGTAAACAAACACCACTGTGGCTGACAGTGTGAAGGAAGAGTCTGAACATGTTTAGCAGTCACTTTAAAGTCGGACAGTCTTAAATATATACAAGATGTGGGAGTGTTTTCTGTTATGCTCTGGGCCACTGTCACCCAGGTGGGTTTTTGATTTTATTTGAACAAATCCTCGGTGCGTTTAAAGTTTTCAATTTAACGTACAGTAGTCATTAATAATAGAAAACAGTCCTGATCTGTCTCAACATTTTATATAAATATGAAACATTTCTGGACTGGGGTTTTTTCACTGAAATAATTCAGAAAAAGCTATGCAAGAACAAATGTTTAATTTTTTTTGTCTTCATTTCCATGCAGGATCACACTGTGGAAAAGTGGTTAGTGTTTGTGCCTTACTGCAAGAAGGTCACCAGTTCAATCCCCAGTTTTCAAAGTGACTGCAGGTTTCTCCTACGGTCAAAAAATTCCTGGATTTGTTGTTACTCAGAGCTGATGGGTCAGTGTGAGTGTGACTGTGATTGGTTGATAGTCTCTCTGTGTGTGTGATGGACTGGTGAACTGAACTGTACTCCCAGCCTGGACTGGCTCCAGCTCTCTCTCTCTCTCTGGTTGTGGAACTATCCACGCAGAAACATTTACTTCCTCACAATATAATATCTCTGTGATCTGCCCACAATCAAATGATGCTTGAGTCTTTTGTTTTCATTGGCTGCCTGCCACACAAATTGTCTTCAAAGCTTTGAAATCTAATCCTCAGTAAAGACCGTTTCCGGAAATGGAGTCTAACTAATAACACAGGCTATCGGATGCTAGCACTTAGCTCTGAAGGAGACTCTTCTCAGTCGAACTCTCCTTGTTCTTTTATCTGGTGTCAACTGGGAGACCAATCAAAGAAACAAATCAAAAAGAAAAATGAAGAGAAAGAACCTTTATTATTGAAAGGAGTCCAGAATGTAACAACTCTTTTGCAGCAAAATGTTTTAGCTCCGTTGCCAACTTGAACTTCCTGTTCAAATCCCCCACGACACGTCATTTATGAGTTCTTTAAACACGGAGTCGTTATTAAGCCAAAAACTAAAAATAGACATGAAACCAATGAATTTCAACATTTGACACTTTTTTTATGAAGGCTAAAAATGTACATTAACACTGCTCAAATATATATGTACATAAATGTACATATACAGATATAATATATGCATGTACATATATATTTTATATGCATATATATACATATATATGTGTATACCGTATATACAACCAATGGTGTTTGTATATTTCTGTTTGTTTCCCTTGAGTTGCTGCTAATGTGATTGGCTACTTTTGTCATTATTCCCCTGTGTATTTCACAACGTCTAGACTCATTCATTTAAATTGTGGCCAAGATCGTAAAGGAAAGATTCACAGCAGCCGTTCACGTCTTTTCCTCTGATGGTTTTCATGTAAATAAAAAGTATTGTATTTGTCAGGGACTTGTAAACTTTGTTCAAGCTAAATTACACACCATTTAAGCCTGCACTCTAAGTCTTTTCAAACATTTCCCAAACACCCAATAATTCTTTACAGACCTCGTGTCAAGCCATCACTCTCCATGTGTTGTGATGCATCTGAATTACAGGACAGAGATAATTCTTTCTTTACTTTCATGACAAGTTTGGAGAAAGCCAGACACAGGAAATTTGAAAAGAAGAAGAAAAAAAAATAGATAAACCAAAAGACTTAACTGTGGATCAGGACTCTGGGTGTAGCAAAGGGAGGGTGTATTGTGAAAAGAGCTTCACAGTGAACAGACTTACACTTTTGTTTTTTATTTGTTTAACTGGCACAAGTAAAAAGTCCTGCCAAAGAGACGAGGAGACTACAGGCAGAAAGGGAAAACACAAGACATTCTCAGAGATTCTCTATTTAACTAAGACAGAATGACTCAGGCGTCATTTTTGAACACTGTAATGTCAATGGGAGTCATTAAAAAAAAAAAGTCGAGTGAAACATTGTGTGATCAAGTCTTTGCAGCAGAAACTCTTGTGAAATCATCAACTGTTGATCCTTATTGAGTTTGGGTTTTCATGACAAAGGCAGTGGCAGCAGATAGACCCCATGGCTGCTCTCCCCTATGCACAACACTGAATGCATTAATAAAGCATGAAGTAGTGGGCAGCATGCCGTGTTTAGCTGTCCACAGCGTGCAGTGCCAAGTCACAGTGCAAGGCGTAGTAAAGGAAGTTTATTTTAAGGTCTGGTTATGTGAGTGACTGATCAGTGACGACTGCTTTAAAACATCAGAGGTTGAAATGTCATGTACTGTTACTAATTACATTTCATTAACTAACGTGGGCTAAGACCCAATCACCATTATGGCCTGTTTAAAATCAGATGTTCCTCACAGATTAACTGGGCTGTACACAGAACCTTCTTTGCGAACAGGAGCTGTACTCATGTACGTAGCATATTCTGCACCCAGCCGAGACGATCTAAGCGTCATCAAAGAAACACAACAGTAGAAAAGATCCAGACAGCCCCAATGGTTAGACAGAAGGACCATTCCAAATAAATCCCTATGACCAAGGTCCTGACCAAACAGGAGACTTCTGGAAAACTCTGACTCATCTGTGAGACAGATAAGAACTAGTCTGATAACATCTCATTCCGTGGTAGAGTTTATGAGATGCAGTTCTACACAAGGCACTGCTGGAGACCTGGCTCACTTTCATCCTCTACTGGAAGGACAGGGTATAAATGAGGGTTGGACACGAGGAAGAAGAAGCTCCAACTAGCGTGTTTGTTCTGTCTTTAGAGTAGCACTGGATCGATTTTTTTTAACAACGGGGAACAGGCACTGATGGAGAAACCTCCATGTTTGTTGAGATTCACCAGGAGTCAGTGGAGGAGTGGGACGGCAGAGGAGCCGAGCAGAACTCAGTGATTGGGTGACCTGTTTAAGATGTCGATTTTTTTTTTTTTTTGCAAGTTTTTTATGTCCAAGTCCTGTTCAAACTACAGTTGAAAAACTTGATTATTTTTAATGGACAGTGAACACAGTCTTAAAGTATTATGGTATAATACCAAGACATAGATTTTGTAAAATTATTATTTGCAGGGAGCCCA